TCCTCGGGCCCTCTCGCAAATAGCGCGTGACGAGAACAGGTAAATCCGTTTTATCTCCCCGGAAGAAACTATTGCTCCGTATAACCGAGTTTTCTACGAGGAATGATCTTTCCGAGGAAAGCGGTAGCGCACTATCGATTTCGAGTAAAGATGTAAATTACACTTTCGGATGTGACTGGAGTCTTGGGTGTAGTTCATTTATTTATAAATATATTTTTACTATATCTTAGAATTGCGCGTTGCAGTATTAGTATATTTTCCTTCAGCTTACATAGTACTCCAGAAGGAAATTTGGTTTTAATATTTATATTCCTCAATCATACTCATTCTTCGTTTCTAGTTATTTAACATCTCTATAGTTACATTGCTTTCTCTAAATGGCTTTACAATATTATTTTTGTTACCTAAATATCTTTATAATCTTCTTTCACAATCTCTTTACTATTTTTCGGTAAAGTTGATATAATTCGAGTAAAAAATTTACTGAAACCAATAATTTTGTAGATATTTCCGTAAATATTTTAGAAAATAGAGGTCGTATGAAAAAATTTTTCAAACAAAAGTTGTTTGCTTCTTTAGGCAAAATAAAATTCCGTAATAAACAATACATATTTATGTTTAAAAAAGCAAAGTTGACCTTGAACTGATCTTGGTGACGCCACTTTAGGTCAAAACAATGGTATCTTCTTATGTTCCCCATCGCACCTTACAACTTTTGTCTAAAGCATTTTTTTCTAAAATGTACTATTTCTGAGATATTAACCTAAGACGATCAAAATGAAACACTCTGTATAACAATAAAGAAAATGACACGAGAACTCCTGATATCTCCTTGCGCATCATAATCTGGAATTTTAAAAATCGTAAATTTGTATCAGGAGAATATAACAATCGAGAAAGCGGCATAAGAACTCCTGATATGTCTTTGCGCATGTATACTTTTAAAGGACTGTGCGGATTTGCTGGAATTTATTAAAGAATATCTGCTTCGTTAAGCATTAAAGACAAAAATGGTTCAGGACTTTTCGATTCAAGTTTTCATAAGGGATAACGCTATGTTCTTCGTGAGCGAAAGTAAAGAAACAACTTATATATATATATATATATATATATATATATATATATATATATATATATATATCCTTTCTTTCAGCTGCACATATCTATCCTTCTTTTTCCTATCCATTCTTTTCATTGTTCTTTTTATTTTCTTTTTATCCTCTTTTCCCTCAATTTCCTTCTATATTTTGTTAGTTTCATTCTCTTTGACACTCTATTTCCTATTAACTTCGTAAAGTGATTTTATTTTATTTCCTATGTATCTCCTTTAGCTTATATTGCCAAAAAAGACTTCTTATAATCATTCTTTTATTCATTGCACTTCACCTTTCTTACTTACACAGCACCTGGTTCTTTATGTCCGTCTTTCTCCGTATACCTTTATATTGCTTTCTTATTTCATCAGATGACCAAATCTTTCCTCTTCATTTCTTACATTCTTTTCTTGCTCCATCTCTTGTGTACTTCTGTCCTCTGTTACCAACTATTGTACATTTCCTCTATCGATAATTTTCACTGCGTTACCATACTAATTTTAGCCTGCCTGTCTTACCTACGCTATTCTGACTACCCATTGTTTATGACACTATTTCTATTACCTATGCGCTTTTTCCACTACAAAACCTGCTTTTCTTAATGCCTTGTATCGTCTTCACTTATACACTATCTATATATTCATACCTACTTCATTGTCCCTCTATTTGATCCGCTCTCGCTCCCCTTATACTTAAATCAATACACTAAAATCATTCTAAACTTACGGGCTACGTTACAAAGTATCTACACACACCATCTAACCAAATCCGAATTGCGCGCGTTGCAAATAGAATTTCTTCACATTTCAAAATATATATTGTGTTAAATACACAACAGTTAATCGCCGTTCCGACAACCTGATTCGGAACATTTTGGAGACGTCGAATGATGATTTATAAATTTGTTGCTAGGCATTATTGAAAGGTGATAGGCGCGGTGATTCAATCAGAATACCACGATGAGAGAGATTCATCGAGATCGCGACCTTCGATCGTGTAAATGTCGCTCCTCGTAGAACCTTATGGGACAAAATTTGATACATACGAGTAACGAGTCGTAGATACAGCGACAGGCAGATCTAAATTGGCCGACCCTGCGTTGCATCTGGCGAAGAAAAAGGGAGGCTGCGACGGCTCTCTCGCTATCGTCGTCACCCACCAGCGAAAAAAAGCTCATGGCAGAGTCCATTGACCAGATGGGTTTTCTCTTTTCATCTCTCTTTCGTTCTCTTTGCCTGTCGTTCTCTTTCTCTTTCTGTCAGTGACAAAACGTCGTCGGTTAAGCTCGAGATACGCGTCTTCAACGTATGTCAAAACGTCCGAGTGCTTAGCTTCCTGTCGTGGAATTTAAATTCCGAGTTTGCGAATATTTTAGATAATAGTTCGAAAGCTTCATTAAATATCATACAGTTAAAGACTAATATTAGCAACAGATAAAATTTACGGATAAAGTTTAAGGAGAAAAATAAATAAAAAGCCAAACGCGACACATCTTTAAGAGTGAGAAATGCGAGTGCCGTGGCTCGCGTAGATATACATCATCGGTGGTGTAATATAATGGAAATCCTCGAGATCTCTCGGACGCGCTATTACACCGGAAAACCTTATCGGCAGCGGGCTTTACGAGCCCAGTGGGAATATAAACACAGAGCATTAAGGACCATAACGCACCGAGTCGCACGTCGAGCCGTCGCGTCCGCCGAAGGCGGACGTACGCGTGAGCGCCTTTGGAACTTAACGCGTCCAGAAACACTAACCAGACCTCCCATTTCGACTCCTCGAGAGTATCAGACGCCGATGGAAACGGTGCTCTCGTTCGAGCCTCTTCTGATGCCGAGTAGCGGGACCGGCTGCTGCGGCGCACGTCTAAGTTATGCGCGAGAGAAACGTGAATCATGCCGAAACGACGACAGACTTTACGACTTCGTGAAAATTGCCCCACGGATTTATCGGGATATGTAACGTGAAAATGTTTCCTTCGACGCTTCGAGTCACTCAAGTACGGGCTCAAGTCGGCCTAATCGGAAAAGGTTTCACCTGACTTCTTCTTCGAATCTCTATAGAATGTAAAATCTCTATAGAGTGTCCGATGAGTGACTTTTTCAGCAAAATTTTTCGTTTCTGATAAATTTAATAAAATACTTATTTTCAATCCATTTCGATCTTCGTTTGGGCGCAAAATATGTGCAATATACTCGTCACTCAGAAAATTTTATGCAGCTGGGCATCGTGAGAAATATCGTTAAATTCATCCAATGTAACGTGATCAGGAATTCAAAGAATCTTGTCGCCTGATACAATTAAAAATTTTGATCACGCGACCGATTGCAGGCTCCTTTCCGACAACGATAAGAAACCCTTCATCGAGGAGGCCGATCGCCTGCGCGTGATCCACAAACGCGAGCATCCCGATTATAAGTACCAGCCCCGGCGTCGGAAACAGAACGGACCTTCCGGTCGCGAGAGTTCACCCTCGCGAAATCAGAGCAACGTGACGTTCAGCGTGTCCAGATCGTTGAAGCAGGAGGATATGAGTCCTCGAGGCGTTCAAGGACCTAATTCACCACAGAGCGGTGTGAGCTCTTCGCCACCTACGACACCCGGTCAGGGTCTCTCACCACCGACACCACCTACAACTCCGAGAGGACAACACTATGTCAATCAGGTGTGTCCTTTGTGTTTGAATATGTAGTAGAAAGCAACTGAAAAGGAAAAAAAATTCGATATATCCAATGACTGGATGCGTTCTTTGATTATGAATTATTGGCTAATTATCAATGTCGCGCGATATGAAAATTCTTGATGCGTAGAACAATCAGCTTCAGCAGAACAACACCGTATACTATCAGGAGTTGGTGAGCACGCCGTCGAGCGAGTCGCCGCATCAGCCCGCCGTCGATCTTCGATACATCGAGGTTGGAGACGGCCTGCCCGGTGAAGAAAACGGTCTCGGCACGTTGGGCGGGCTCGGTCTGAATCTCCCGGTGAATTTTCAGGAGTGCGAGGTGGAGAGCAACGAACTCGATCAGTATCTACCCCCTCAAACCGCACCGATACATCAGTATCCACCCGTGCAAGTCACCACCTCCTCGCAATGGTTACTCAACAGGTGAGATCGTTGTGTCATTACGTTAGTGGCGTTTCGGAAGCACTTGAGATGAGAAAAGAAACACACAAATATAGATGTTGATAATGCGAAAGGACAAATTTTGCGAGACTATTATAATGAAAAGTGAATATTCAATGTAAATGCCGCCGGTTTGAATGAGTAATATTCTGCGTTTCTCTCGCGATTTACGAGATGCCGGGATACATCTCCGTTTCCAGGTACGAGGAAGAGATCGAGAGACCGATGAAACGTCACTGTTCGGAACAGGCGGTCGCGGAGGTGTCCTGGGACGACAGGACGCAGGAGATGGTGAGGTATCACGAATTGCAGCCGCCTCTTCCACCGGTCCAGTATATATCCGCCGCTCATAACGCGCATCACTCACACGCGACCACGCAGATGGCACATTCGCACGTGTCCACACCCTACGCGCAGTATCACCGCTACGTGCCCGGTATCGAGACGTGGCCAAATTACATGTAGACCGATGCGAAGTAAACGACGGCTCGTTATTTTACCGCAGCGCGGACTCATCGGAAACGCGCATTTCTAAAATTCGAGATGGGGAAATGCATGCCAAATTCGCTAAAAGTCCAAATCTAGCGTTATCTCTAGTATTTGATAACACGCGAGTTTGAAGAGAGAGAAGTATGTAACACTTCAAAGTATCGTTCTTTTTTTTTGGAAATTTGCGACCAAAGCTAAAGCCTTAATGCTCTAATTTCGCGTACCAAGTGTCGCGTACCGATTATAGCACAAACTCGTAAAGATCGATTTCAAAAGTAATGAAGAAAAGCCAAATAAAAAGGGGTTTGTTGCGTCGAATCGCGCATTTTGTAGAGCAAAGAGTATAAAGAGCATAATGTAGCATTTATGTATTATTGTGAATATATTCTGGAAGACGCGTTAATGAATAAAATTCGTCACAAATGTCTTTCCTCGCCCGACTTGATCGAGGAAAGTGAAAGTTCGCGGTTGCGCGCTAGTCCGAACTAATCTACTAGAGACTTACGAGTCTAGGATCTGATAGCCAATTTTGTTTTTCGTTTATAAAATATTAGATTTATAAAATATCAGAGACTTTTTTTCCGTGCAAATTATTCGTCGAGTTGCTGTTTTAACAAAATATTAAAATTCACTGCGCATTAATCAGTACTAGATTGGTGCAAAAGGTTTGTCGCACTTATCAAGACATCACTTGAATGTTTAATCGTTTTCAATCCGAGAAATGAATGCGTTATGGAAATTTCACTCGACTGGGAACGTCGAATTGGCCATTCTACCACTCGAGAGTCTCTACTATGTGGACGAGGCGCGGCCGCCGCTACTCACCATGACATCATTCCATGACAGCCGGCCATTCCAAAGCGCAGAATTTCAGGCCAAACAAACAGGCCGCTCGATATACACGGTGCCCCGGCGCGAGTGC